TCCATTGTCTCATATCTTATTTAACCAGTCTATTTATTGGAGTTTTAGATTGCTTCAGCTTTCTGCTGTTATAAGCAGTGCTCACATTTGCATGTGAGCCTGTGTACTGAATAACCTGTTTTTGAACCAATGGGCTCAGAAGGCATAGGTGGACATAGAGAAAGAGAGATTTTTTAGTTTGTTTCTGGCTTTGGAGTATTAACAAAAGATAAAAGAGGCCAGCTTTTTTTTGTATGCCCATAAATGATTACAGTAACTCAGACCGTACTTATTTTTCATATTTGGCATCCCTCACACAGGCTGAGAACAGTGTGGGACTTAAAAATGATTCAGTGTCACCATGTTAGAAGCTATAAAAATACAAAAGATGAGTTAAGAAAATTACAATAGGGAGGTGGCTTGAACACACATAAAATTGTTAAAAATTAGTCATTTTGTGATTAAGCAAATAATCCAAAAGTTCAGAGGGTCAGGGAAGGCTAGAATCGAAAAATTTTTTGGAGAAGTTGGGACTTGAGCTGGGTGGACCTTGATCAGTAATTTGTTAAAAAAAAAAAAAGGAAAGAAAAAGAGTATTCCAGGAGGGGATAAAACACAGGAATAGAATAGACAAAGCAACATTTACAAGGCAATTAGATCAACTTGGCTGGATTTTGCAGTGTCTGTTTGGGATTAGATAGGGTGGGGTCAGGTGGCACAATCAGGCTGGCTCCTTCTGTGAAAGCAGTGTGTGTATGGGGGGCTGGTGGGGAGAGCCTTGAAGTTTTCTGAGCCAGAAAATGACAAAGGCAGACAGCTCTGACCTGGAGGTGGTATGGATGGAAGCATGTGAATAAAAGGATTGTCACAGTCTAACATGAATGGAAATGGCTAAATTATGGCATATATACTCAAGGAAATACTTTATAAACAATATAATTAAAAAGTAACAAACTAGAGCAACACTGAAAAATGCTGGAGTTTTTTTCCCTATTATGAAAAGGTAAGCTTATGGACAAAGACAAATACAAAAGGAGTTGCATTCATGTTTTGGGATCTATATGTATTCCCCCCAACCCCGAACAAATCCAATTTGGCAATGACAATTATTGTCCTTAGATTAAAAAACTAAAAAAATACAAAAATACATGCCTCATACACATTGTCCATTTTGGACCCCATTATAAGCTATGAGATAAGCAAAACAGACACTTTTATCACCATTTAGATGACGAAACTGAACTCAAAGATGACTTGCCCGATTATTCACTTAGTGAGAGACAACTGAAACCGGGGTCCTTGGCCAGGTAATGTGTTGGCAATAGAATGAAGAAAGTTCTTCATCCCTGCTTTTAGACAATTTAATCCTATTTCATTGGTGTAACCCTTGCTTCATATCCTCAATTAGGGAGAGTGAGAAGATACAGTCACATAAGGGTAAATTTAAAATGGAACCGAGACTGATAAACACATTTTGTCATTACACGCTATGTATGGATGGTAATAGATGCATTCAAGAAATGACCCAAATGAGCATCTGTTGTTTGGAATGCCATTGGCCTGCATAGCTTTCAGTAAAGTAAAAATCAAAGGAAAATGTTCATGGGCTTCTTAAATTCATTCCCCCAAAGAACTGCCCATATGTAAGAATATTGACGAACTATGGATTACTATTCAAGCTGGACACCAACTTGTGAATCTTCCATCCTCACTCTGTCCCTAGAAAATGGGACCTTTTTTTTTTTTTACTATTTTTTCTGATCATAGCCTGTTTTCCTCTGTACGTTTGCCCCTACTGTGTCACCTACCTGAAAAGGCTCTTTTCTCATCTGCACTTGTTAAAATTGGAGTCATTCTTCAAGATGCACTCCAAATACATCTTTCAACTTTTATTCTGCTTCTTGCCCTTTACCACCTCTAGGCACATAGTCTTTTATACGTACTTATAAACTATCTTGCTTTAAAGTTCTCTGTGTAGCTCCCTTATTCTTCCTATGAAATGTTTATATTCATCCAAGAGGAAAGGATCTAACATTTACTAAGCAGTTACTAGGTCGGAAGATGCCAAGAATTCACTGATTAATACCAGCTAAGTTTGATCATTTATAGGTCTAAGTACCCCTCTAAGTGCTTTACCTGCATCACCTCATTTAATTTCAACAGCAGCCCTGTAGCGCATACTACTATTGTTATCCCCATTTTGCAGATGGGAAAAACAGGTCTAGAAATTTGAATTAATTTAGCCAAGGACACAGACACAGCATGTGTTGGCGCCTTAGTTCAAATCCAGATATCCTGCCTCTGGAGGCCCTGGGATTTGCCCTCTTCAAAGAGATGCTTTCCATTAAAGAGGCGGGTCTGTCTCCTGGTGTCTATGCCCCTGTCCCTGAGAGCCTGGGATTCTTTACTCTTCTGCCAACTGGGCACTGAGCTCCCTCACTTCCTTCCCTAATTGCTCCAGTGCTTGTCCTCTCCTCCAGCCTCTGTCCTTTTAGTCATTCATCCTGCTCTTAATCAGGAGACCCCTGGAAAGCCCCACTAACCAAATTCCAACTGTTAGGGGAGGAGGCTTGGAGTCCCCAGGCCCAGGGCCAATGCTACTCTTCAGATCTTCCCTCAAACTGAGAATAAAACATTAAGTACTTGTACTGGCTGCTACTTTCCACTAGCAGATTTCTGTTACATCCCCACTATCAGCTATTTTAAAAGCCACTAAAACTAGAGTCTTTAGCCCAGGATCTAAGAACTCTCTGATATTTTATTTAAAAGCATGTTTCTAGGGAGGGGTAACTGGCAGTCCACATGCGACTTGAGTCTTGATCTTGGGATTGTGAGTTTAAGCTCCACGTTTGGGCAGAGACTGATTTAAAAAAAAAAAAAAAAGGCATGTTTCTAGGGAAAGGACCCATAACCTTCCTTAGGTTCTCAAATGAATTCAGAGTTCCTTTAAGACCTTTGTAGACCTTGGGGCGCCTGGGTGGCTCAGTCACTAAGTATCTGCCTTCGGCTCAGGTCATGATCCCGGGGTCCTGGGATGGAGCCCCACATCGGGCTCCCTGCTCAGCAGGGAGCCTGCTTCTCCCTCTCCCTCTGCCTGCCACTCCCCCTGCTTGTGCTCTCTCTCCCTTGCTCCCTCTCTGTCAAATAAATTAATAAAATCTTTAAAAAAAGACCTTTATAGACCTTCCTTAAAGCATTTTTTTTCGAAGTTTCTCTCCTCATATCAAACACTGAAACATATTGAAAGTCCATATTAAATATAAGTTTTTATATAACTGAAATATTTCATTTGACTCATTGACATAAAGGTGTATTTTATAGACATGTGATTAAGTATTTATTAATTTTGACTTTTCAAGTTTCCTTTTTTATATTCTAGAGCCAATAACATTTTTTTAAAGATCTCAAATATTTTCATAGGCCTTTGGTAAGCTCCTGCTTCTTAGGTGGTAACACCATCTGCTCCATTTCCTTCTGCCCTTGGTTGCTTAATCCCCTTCCTGCTCTTCAGCCTTCCTCTTTCTCCCACAGTCTTGAGAATCCCTCCATCTGCTCAAACTAAGGATGAGCCTAAGGAATTCTCTTTGTCTTTGATCCTCCAGCTTTTCTCCTGATCCTGGGAAATCAGGGCCTGTCCCTTGAAGGTGACGGGGAACCCAGAATGGAATATCTTAAACTCCGGTTGTGGAGGGGACAGATACTCACAATGAGCCTTTCTCTTCTTGCCTTCCCTCCATACTGGGTGTGCAGAAATCATGAAATTGGGGGATGACAGAAGTTTGGGATGTGCTGAGCTATGCCACACATTTTTGAGGAGTAATTTCCAAAACCAGATCTGATTGTTGCTATGGGCTAATGGGCATTTCCAGAAGCTGAGAGATGAAATAAAAAACGATATTGATTCAAGAAATAACACAGCTCCCCTCCCAACTTTCAAAATAAAATAAAGAAATTACAAAAAATTAAATGCTTTTTAAAATTGAAGAGGTTACTCACTTAAAGGTATTACTTTATTGGTCTTGTACTGGTGTCTATAGAGTTATGGGAATAGAAGGTAGAAATATATCAATGTCATACATGCTTTCTTTTTCTGAAATCATTCTGAGATTAGGCTGGCCTATCTACCATCTAGATGTCAGTGTTTTATGTTTACAGCAATCTTATACATATTTGCACATACCCAGAATTTTCCAAGAACGTTAATATTTATAGTGATTTCATGAGGGATTAAAGATAGGAGCATATCCCCACTGGCAGGTGGAGTTTATGTCGCCTCCCCTTGAACCTGAGCTGGTCCAGGTCTACTTTGACCAAGAGAGTACAGTGGATGTGATACTGTGTCAGGGGTGGGCATAGGCTTAAAGAGGACTAGAAATGTCCACTTTGGTCTCTTAGAGCCCTGCACTGCCATATAAGAAGTCTGGCCACTCTGAGCTACCATACTGGATGAGCTGTATGAAAAAAAAAAAAAAAAAGATGAAGAGAAGGGACAGTAGGGCAGAGGAGACAAGCTGTTCCAAAATTCTACCATTTGGGTCATCCCAGTCCAGCTGATGCTCCAGACCTCATGAAGCGGAGAGATGAACGTCCCTTCTGGGCCTTGTTTGAGTTTCTGATTCAGAATTGTGAGACATTATAATAATAAATTGTCATTTCAAGCAACTAGATTCTGGGACACTTCACTAAGCATGAATAGTTCATAATGTTTTAAACTACTATAACCAACTATTACTTTAATTTATAAATGTACATACATAGATTTCATGAAATAAAGAAATGAAGTACATGTTGCATTTGAAAAATATGTCTAATAGGTTACTGGTGCAAAATTAAAGTGAGCTTAAGCACATATGTTAACATTTTTGAAATGAATTGATCATCTATTTAATATTAAGATTTAGGACTTCAAAGTCATTAGGACTTAAAAAATAATAGCTGATACTGCATCCACAGTGGTGACTAATCCACAACGGTATAATTAGCAAGAATGACAGATAATTTAATTTGCAGGGAGAAAAAATGAAGATCTTTCCTACGTTTTATACCCACACAAAAATGTAATGCCACTAAACTGATTAACAGAAAGAGATGGTTATTACCATACCTTGGAACCAAATAATCTGAAAGCATTTGTCAGGGCCCCCCCCCACAAAAGCCTTCTACTGATAACTCACTGAGCTGTTTCCAGAAGACATGGGTTCTTGGTCTCAGAGTTCCTGAGCTGTTCGCTCACTGTGCCAGAACAGCTGACCTCCCACAGTGTGTGCTTTAGGATCTCAGCAACTGAGGCCCGAAAGCGAGTTTGGAACTTCTTACTAATTAGGACGTAAAGGATGGGGTTCAAGCAACTATTGAGGAATGCCAAGCCAGTGGAGAGGGGGATACCGGCCTGAAGCACCTGGTGGAAATAGCTACTGTGGTGGATTGTGAGCTCCCAAATGCTAAACAGGTGATAAGGAGTCCAGCAAACCAAAAAGGCCATGACCACAGCCAGGATGGTCCAGAAATGCTTACTGGAGACCAGGATGCTGCGCTTCTTCACCTTGAAGATGAGACACAAGTAGCAAATGCTCATTGCTAGCAAGGGAAAGAGGTACCCGACAATAAATTTCACCCAGGTCAGAACATGGTGCCTCATCAAAGTAAGGTCAGGATCATGCTCATGGAAATTGTTATAGCAAAGAGTTTGGTTATTGAACTCCAGAGTGTCCCGGAAATAGAGGGCAGGACCACCCATTAGAGAAGCCACAAACCAAACGGATATAATAACAATCAAGGAGTTCCTTAGGGTTCGGTGCCGATGAGATACGACAGGATGGATCAAGTGGATATAGCGGTCCAGGCTGATCACCGTCAAGAAGAAAACACTAGCAAACATGTTCAACTGGGCAATGAAGGAATTGGCCTTGCACAACCAGATGCCAAAGGGCCAGTGGAAATTCATGGCCACATAGGAGATGTACAGAGGTAGGAAGAGAAGAAAAATAAAATCTGCAATAGCCAGATTGAGGAACCAGAGAGTGGTGACTGTCTTCTTCCACTTGAACCCTGTGAACCAAATGACAGTGGCATTTCCTGGAATGCCCAGAATAAATGCTAAACAGTATAACACCAGGGAGACCCAATGAACAACTCCCAGTTGGACTTTCTCCTTCAAATCAGACTCTGAGGAGTAATATTCCAGGTTATAGGAGTAGTTCTCGAATTCTTCAAATAATGTTTCCTCTAGATCTTCCATGACCTTGTCAAGTGGAGAATGAGGATATCTATAGAAGCAAATTTGAAAAGAAAGAAGACAATTTTTAAAAGAGGAAATGTTCAGTGAACAAGGAACATTAGGATAAAAATGTTTCATCTGATGAACTGGATAGAAATAGTACAATTTTTGGTAAGGTCTGTGATTATATTCTAGACATCCAAATCTTGCGGTACCTCGGTTTTGCTCTGATTACTCTCAAAGCTGTGACAGCTCATTTTTGCATAGTATTCAGTAAGTGCTAAATTAAAATGATTGACTCTACAGGTGCAAATCCTTTATCCATAAGGCTTATAGGCCTGACTAGAGAGAATTTAACATTCAATAGGCATTTACTAGGTTCTGACTCTGCATTATTATTTTATGGAAGATACAAAAGAAAACAGAGGAATACTTACGTGGTGATGACTTCAAAGCCCTTAGTTATACCCTGACTTTCTAAGCTCTAGACAGAGAGTTCCAACTGCTTCATCAATCCACAAATCCGGATGTCACAGGCAAGACCTGGAGATTTTGACACACTATTTTGCACCCATGGATGTTTTGAATCTATGTTTATGAATGCAAACATGTTCATAAGAATTATATCAGTGTGGAAGACTTTTTAACCAAAAGGTATCTTTTGGAATAAAGTTGACTATGACCATTTAATTTCTATACCAATTTCCTGTAGAGTGCCCTAAATTGTACTGAAATTTTTATTTTATTGAAATTCCTTTGTTTTGAATTAATTTGGATTAATTATCTTCTACATTTACAACAAAAATGTGATTTGTTCAGCTTTATTTTATTTTTGCCTATACCAAAATTTATCTATTATAAATTCACCCAAAGTTAAGTTTTCTTTTGTGATCTTTTCTTTTCCTTCCTGTCAAGACCAGTTTTTCTGGGTTAAGAAGAGGTAAAAATCATTTTTACAATCAAAACAAAGTCTACTGGTTACAATTTTAACTACATCAATTTTATTTTGTGTTATTTCTGTTTGTTAGTATTCAAAATCAAGAAGAAAGAAAATTAATAGTTGTATTCATTTCATGGAGCTACAGTAATTAATGGGGTAAACATATAAGATATGGGATTATAGAGGTGCCTGGGTGGCTCAGTCAGTTAAGTGTCTGCCTTCAGCTCAGGTTATGATCCCAGGGTCCTGGGATTGAGTCCTGCCTCCGGCTCCCTGCTCAGCAGGGAGTCTGCTTTGCCCTCTCCCTCTGCCCCTCCCCCTGCTCATGTGCTCTCTCTCTCTCTCTCTCAAATAAATAAATAAGATCTTTAAAAGGAAAAACAGTATGGGATTATAGTAGGGTTAGAATGAAGAGGTCAAAGCATGAGTGTTGCTCAGAGATATCTCACATTAAATTCTACTAACACTGAATTCGTCATCCTATCTCAAATTGTTTGAGGAGCCTGGCAGGACATAATTAAAAAATAAAAGCCATTCAATAGCCCCCTCCCAATCCCAGGCCCAGCCACCTTCTCTTTGTTTTTCAATATTCAGCTTAAGTGCCGCCTTTTCCTGGAAACATTTCCTGACATTACCTTCTCCCAGATAATTACAATAATAATCACTATTATTATATAAAAAAAGGTCAATGTTATTGGGAATTGTCTAGGTGCCAGGCTTGTATGGTCTAATTTGATCCTCACGAGAATCTTATAAAGTAGGTAAGTAGTACTATTATTCCCATTGATAAGAAAAGATACTGAAGTTTAGGAAGCTTGGTGACTTGCTCAGGATCACACAACCTGTAACTGGAGAATCAGGATCTAGACTCAGATCTATTGGACCCAGAGCCTGAGCTCTTAGTTACCATGATTTTGTATGACACTGTACTCTTATTGTACTCAATGCACTAATAAATTGTCATTGGTTTATCTTCAATTTCTGCCCTACCAAACTCTTAACTCCTTGAGAACAATGCCTGTCATCTCTGATCCTCATGGTGCCTAGTACACATCTTAACATATCACAGGTGCTTAACATGGGCTAGATAAATGATTGACTCGGCTACAGATCCTGTTCAGAACCAAATGTAACCGGAGAGTTTGTTAGTTCACCCCTATGTCACCGTCATTGCCAGAATTTCTCTGACCTTGACCCACAATGCCATTCCCAGGATCTTGGCTTCTTTCTTGACACCAAGTCTTGTCCTTCATGTATCCTACTTCACTGAGCAAGAATTGGCTTCCTTCTTGCTGCCCTTTTCTTGCAGGTCTGGGGATCTTACTCTGCCCACTGCTTCTGGTGGCTGAACCTCCTCAATGTCAAATCTTTTCTAGCCGAGTGTCTAACTCCCTGTCTCCGTTTTCTCCTGTATACTGGGACACCCTTCCCTCCTCGTGCCTATGACCTTTCAGGCTATTAGGAATTCTGAAGCCAAATGCCCCAGGTGGCAGTTTAAATCACCTTACAAAATCCTAAGCAGTAAGTAGAAGGACCTTCATTCTCCAAACACAGAAAGCCAATGGAAGACCCCTAATTGCACTAGAACCATTATCCTCACCAAAAGTCAGAAACTACCCCCTTCTAATGCCATTACTGAAATGATCACAGGGCCTGCTGAAGGACACCAACCACCTCTCTTCCCAGTTCTCTTGGTGGGGGCGGAAGGTACCTTGAGGATGAGTGATCTAGCTCGTCTGTTTCAGAATCCCTTCAAACAGAAAACCCTGTGTCAGAGAGGTCCCCGATCTTCCAGAAAGCAGATGAGTGGATTAGACACAAGGTCCAGTTAGTTCAAGCTTGGAGAAAGATCTTCGAGAGTTGCTGAATGCTGCCCAGCTGAAACCTTCACAGGAAGTATAATCTAGGAATTCCCCTGTGACTTAGAGCAGATGTTTTTGTGTGGTGGCGATGGTGAGGGATATGGGTAGGATGGGAAAAGATGGAAGTCAGGCAGAATTCAGCAACTGTCCCCCCGAGTCCTTGTACAGTCACAGTCAACCCTTAAGGACATATTCTTGTTTAATTATTGCAGCTTGTTTATATGTTGCTTTGCAGTTTACAGGCACCTCCGGATCTAACTACGTTCCCAAATCTCATGCCTACGCACATATCTCGTCACTAACTATATGAGTTTCATAGGGCTGATGTGACAAAGTGCTCTAAACTTAAAATTTTTAAATAACAGAAATTTATTGTCTCACAGTCTGGAGGCTAGAAGTCTGAAGTCAGGTGTAGGTGGGGTGGTTTCCTCGTGAGGGATGTCTGTGAGGGAGAATCTGTCCCGTGCCTCTTCCCTAGTTTCTGGTGACTTGCTGGCAAACTTTGGCCTTTCTTGGCTTGTACACGTGTCACCCTAATATCTGCCTTCATCACCTCGTGGTACTCTCCCTGCATGTCTGTCTCTGTGTCCAAATTTCGCCCTTCCATAAGGACACGAGTCATACTGGATTACAACCCACCCTCATGTCCTCGTTTTAACTTGATGACCTCTGTAAAAACCCTAATTCCAAATGAGATCACACTGTGAGACGCTGAGGGTTAAGACTTCAACGGACCTTTTTGGAGGGGCACAATTCAACCCACAGCATTAGCCCAGAGCTGGCAGCCACCATTTCCGAATCGTAATCACTCATTCATTTAGCACATATTCAGTAAGTGCCTACATTTCTCAGGCACTATTCTAGTTAATTGTGCTTCTTCACTAAATGAGACAATTATTTCTTCCCTTTTAGATTTTAGATTCCAGCCAGAGAGAGTAAAAAATAAACATAATAGAAAAGCAAATTACATAGTGTGTTAAAGTGTGTTAAAAGCTGGTAAGTGCTGCAGGAAAACTGGGGAGGGGGGAGAATGGAATAAAGGGAAAAGGAGAGGGGGCTCTAATTTTCAGTAAGGTGGTCAGAGAAGGACTCATTGGGAAGGCAGCAACCACAAAGTCCGAGGGAGGTAAGGGAGTTAGTCGTGTGGATATTGCAGGCAAGAGTGGTCTAGGCAGAAGAACAGCCAGTGCCTTATGGCAGAAGTGCCTCTAACATTTCCAGAAATAGGAAAGATACCAGTATGTCTAGAACAGGGTGAGCAAGGTGAACAAGGGAAGAGTAGAAGAAAAGAAGCAACAAGGATGTGTGGGAGGTCAGATATGTAGACACTTGCAGGCCATTGGAGGACTGTGGTTTTTACTCTAAGGGAAACGGGATGCCCCTGAAGGATCTGAGCTGAGCAGAAAAGTAATCCGTTTCTATTATGGTGCAATCCCTCCTTCTGCTACGCTGAGAACAGACCGCTGTGGGTAGTGGTGGCTGTGGCGGTGGGTAAGCAAGTGTACAAGTAGCAAGACCAATTCGAAGATTATTGGAATAATCGCGGCCGGAGAGGAGGGTGGCTTGGATCAGGGGGGTAGCAGAAGTGATGAGAAAGGACCGAATTTGGGGTGCCTGGGTGGCTCAGTTGGTTGAGCATCTGACTCTTGATTCCGGCTCAGGTCGTGATCTCAGAGTCGTGGGACTGAGCCCTTAGTCGGGCTCTGCACCCAGTGGGGAGTCTTTCCCTCGGCCCCTCCCTCCCCTCACACGCATGTTCTCTCTCGACCTCTCTCTCTCAAATAAATAAAGAAATCTTAAAAAAAAAAAAAAAGGACAGACTGAATTCTAATTTATATGTTGAAGACAGAATCAATAGGTTTCTTAGTGGATCAGATGTGAAAGAGAAGAGTAAAAAATGACCCCCAGGCTTTGGGGCCTTGTGTACCAGGGTCTAAGGCCCTCTATTACCCCTTGTTCCCTCTAGAATATGGATGCAGTGAGGAGCTGTCTTGCACCACGTGGATGAGGAAAACATGTGTCTTCGTAAGCTATAAAAAGTGTGGGCCCTCCTGTGACCTCGTGGAGTACAGCTGCCCTACTTCTCTGGCCTTCCTCCTTCTGGAGGAAGTGAGAACATATTTTCTCTGCTATTCTTTTGGGCTTTTGTTAGAGCAGTAGGACCTGTATCCTAACTCACTTAGCTCCCCCGGGCCTTGCCTTTAAACACTGTGGCGGAGACCTGGCCATGCCCACGTCCTGTGAAAA